TAAATGACACAATCTGGCTTTTGAAAACAATGGGTAATGGCACATCATAATGGTGGGAAATAGAGACATGTATGATTTATGGCATTTATCAAGATCTGGAAAAATGATGTGAAATGTTTATAAAACTAAATCAAATGAATCAGAGAAAGACATTGGAAGACTTGGAAGATTAGAAACTCACCAAGACAATTTTTTAGAGCAATCTTTACAAGTGCATGTTTTTTATCCTTCATTTGAAGATGAGAGGCCTCCTGAATTGCAGTTTCAATTTTTGCTATGTCAGCAACCAAGTTGAACTTTTGAATGGCTGATTTGAAGGGGGCAGAAGATGCTGAAGGGTTCTGATTCCATAGAAAATATGAGTGCTCTGCGATGATAGCTGTGGCTGAGCAGCAAAATAGTAGTTACAATAAAGTGGTCAGAAATAATAATACACATACCAATACATAGAAGGGCAATGTCCTTAGAGGTTTTTGTATAGTCAATCTACATAGAATTATATTGTGATCAGAATAGTGAATGGCATTTACACAGTACAGACTTACAAAAGGCCAGTCTGTATAACTGAGGACATCCTCCACCTAGAAATAGTGATTGATTCAGTGAATTGTTATTTTCAAAAAAAAAATTAAAAAAATTAAAAATGGGAAGAGAAAATAAAATGCTTACAGCCTATTTGAAGAAGTAAAGCAGCATAAGTTTTCAGAGAAATGCAACTCACAATCTCAGGATTCTTAGCAAAATAAAAGGTGAAGAAGGGTGAGACTTACACGCTATGTAAAACATGGGCAATGCTCTTGTCAGCAATAAGTAGGAAGGGCCAGATGCCAACGTACATCCTGTTCAAAGCCCAGGACATCTTGTCAGCAACAAGCAGGAAGTGCCAGCCTGACTTACAAACTACTCAAAACCCAGAGCACACTCTTGTCAGCAACAAGCAGGAAGTGCCAGCTAGATGCTGACTTACAACCTGTTAAAAACCCAGAGTGTAAGCAACAAGCAGGAAGGGCCAGCCAGATGCTGACTTACAGCCTGTTTAAAACCCAGAGTATGGTCTTGTCAACAAGCAGAAAAGGCCAGTCAGATGCTGACTTACACCCTGTTCAAACCCTCCTGTCAGCACAAGCAGGAAGGGCCAGCCAGATGCTGACTTACATTCTGTTGAAAACCCAGAGCATACTCTTGTCAACAACAAACAGGAATAGCCAGCCACATGCTGACTTACGAACTGTTCAAAACCCAGAGCATGGTCTTGTTAGCAACAAGCCAAAAGGGCCAGCCAGATGCTCACTTACAGCCTGTTGAAACCCCAGAGCATGGTCTTGTCAACAAGCAGGAATGGCCAGTCAGATGCTGACTTACAGCCTGTTCCAAATTCAGAGCACGTTCTTGTCAGCAACAAGGAGGAAGGGACAGCCAGATGCTGACTTACATCCTGCTCAAAACCCAGAGCATGCTCTTGTCAGGAACAAGCAGAAAGGGCTGCCCAGATGCTGACTTACATCCTGTTGAACACCCAGAGCATGCTCTTGTCAGCAACAAGCAGGAAGGGCCAGCCAGATGCTGACTTACATCCTGTTCAAAACCCAGACCATGGTCTTGTCAGCAACAAGCAGGAACAGCCAACCAGATGCTGACTTACAACCTGTTCAAAACCCAGAGCATGGTCTTGTCAGCAACAAGCAGGAATGGCCAGCCAGATGCTGACTTACATCCTGTTCAAAACCCAGAGCATACTCTTGTCAGCAACAAGCAGGAATGGCCAGGCAGATGCTGACTTACAACCTGTTCAAAACCCAGAGCATGGTCTTGTCAGCAACAAGCAGGAAGGGCCAGCAGATGCTAACTTACATACTGTTCAAAAACCCAGACCATGCTCTTGTCAGCAACAAGCAGGAAGGGCCAGCAGATGCACACTTACATCCTGTTCAAAATCCAGAGCATAGTCTTGTCAGCAACAAGCAGGAATGGCCAGCCAGATGCTGACTTACAGCCTGTTTAAAACCCAGAGCATGCTCTTGTCAGCAACAAGCAGGAAGGCCAGGCAGATGCTAACTTACAACCTGTTCAAAAACGAGACCATGGTCTTGTCAGCAACAAGCAGGAAGGGCCAGCAGATGCTAACTTACATACTGTTCAAAAACGAGAGCATGCTCTTGTCAGCAACAAGCCGGAAGGGCCAGCAGATGCTAACTTACAACCTGTTCAAAACCCAGACCATGTTCTTGTCAGAAACAAGCAGGAAGGGCCAGCCAGTTGCACACTTACATCCTGTTCAAAACCCAGACCATGCTCTTGTCAGCAACAAACAGGAAGGGCCAGCCAAATGCTGACTTACAAACTGTTCAAAATCCAGAGCATGGTCTTGTCAGCAACAAGCAAGAAGGGCCAGCCAGATGCTGACTTACAAACTGTTGAAAACCCAGAGCATACTCTTGTCAACATCAGAGGATGAACCCAAAAAAAAAATCCACTTACATTCTGTTTATAAAGCACATTCTTGTTAGCATCTACTTGAGACCAGCTGGATATTAGCTTACTTTCTGTTTAAATATATCATTTCATTGTACAGTTGAATAGTCAAGTTAGTTTCACATACCATATGTGGAAAATACTGCAATATATTCTCAATGATCTCCCTCCACTCTCTCTTTCTTTCAAACAATGTCCAAGCTGGAAATATGAATCTATTATTCTGGGTAAGAAACAATTTAGCTTCATATAATTAGACATGAAACAAATACCTCATAATTGCATATTCAATTGACAGAGATATATTATTTTTCTGCACTGTAAGAAACAGCTGTAAAATTGTATTATCATCTGAGAGAGTAGCTGCTGTCTTCCTCAGCAGTTCACTGCAGTCACTTGTGGAATTATGCATGTCTGTTAAATGCAATTAATTTGTAGACTATAAATAAATGAATTTGCCACACCTCGAAAATACACATGTTCCTTGGGGGGGTACTGTTGCATATAGAGTTGCTGACCAAAACTGTTTTGAAACCTGGCAATTGATTCCTCTGGAGCTTTTATTACAGCATCTTCAATACTCATTCCACCATTAACCAATTGTTTTATTGTTTGGTCATCAAGCATGTCTGCTTTTGTAAACAAGACAATAACAGGGACTGCACACAAAATGAAAATGTTACATTCAAGAGATTATCAATAGTTTACACACCTCCACCAGTCCCTGACTGATCAAAGAAATTTAACTCTGCTCTTGTAATTGGTCTGGCTTCATCATTGATTGGGATGCAGTACCTATACAGGATGTATTCAGATGCACTTTAATGTTAATGCTCAGTCACTTACCAAATTACATGCAGATGATCCCTGATGTTTTTTTTGGTTGAACATTTTTGTATAAAGTTCTTAACTTTATCCAGCTCAGATGTTCTGCCTGCTTCGAAGCCATGTGAGTCATGAAAGACAAATTCCCTATTACTCTCGAATATCATTTCATTCTCAATGTCATGCTCCCCTCTCTGCCACACCTTCAGTAAAAATAATAGGACTGTAAATCCACATACCCATGCAGTTGCATTGAGCTCGGACAAGTCAATCTATCCACATCAATAATGATAGATGATGATGTCTAGGACTCTAGAACATGGAATACCTCATGACCCTCCCGATTGAAAATTTTCGGCTGTTCTGTTGCATTGCAAACTCGCTGGAGGATGGTTGTCTTTCCCGCATTGGCGCGGCCAATGATAAGGACACGATAATGCTTGATGAGCGCTCGAACATTTCGTGCTCGTCTTCGTTGTCTTTCTACTTCTTGGAAATCGGTATTGGAAAGAGACATTTGTCGCCCGGATGCCTGAGATGGTGGAAGTGGTGAAGAATCAAGATAAGCGCAGCGGTGGGCAGTGTATTGTTTGCTTATGCTGGGTCAGCCACAGGTGTGACGTCACTTGAGCGTAACCATCGTTCACTTCTGGCCTCGCCGTTGATACAGCTTTATTCTCATAGGGATTTCCAATATGTACACACATCGTTGACTGCTCAACTGAGCTTTTCAAGCCTCAATCTGACCACGACGATCGTGAAAGCATGCTTTGACCCAACGGCGAGGGAGAGGGAAGTACAAATTTAAACTCCAGGTTAACAAGTTTTCCACAGTCCAGGTGAATGCTCCTTCGAGTCGCCATTCAAGCTCCAGCAATGGCGTGAGTTCGCCACAGACTAATCTCTACGGCAGCGGGCTTATTTCCACGACACCATTTTCCTACATTGAGACTCGAATTACGGTAGCTGAAAACCTAGAAGGTTGAAAGTGGCTCTGATACTCAAGGCGCGAACTGAAATGGAAAAGCGTCATTGTCAACTGGAGTACTACATATCCGATGTAATGTCCGAGTCGGGCCAACACCTCGAGGCCCCAAGTTGAGTCGGGATGAGGAGTTTTCATGGTACTCTGATAGTGAGGTTGGTGGATTGACTCGACCGTAAACTTGAAACGGAAAACGGGCTATGATACGCGCGCTGAGTCTTCTCATTCACAGCCTACTCGAGGAAGGGTAGTTGTCTGTCGGATTTTATCGAGCAAATAACTAACCTGTAGCTTGGATACGGTGACTTGTAATCCGACCGTCGACTACGTGTTTTTCTGGAAGACCAACGAAAAGCAGTGAGTGCGATATTTTCCGTTTGTATGGGAAGGGATGTTGATGGGAATGATAGTGGTTGGGCATCGCAATGGTACCCATCACCTTTCACCGTAAAGGTGAAGCTGGAAGAAGAAGGCGGGGAGGAAGAGGTCACGTTTGCCTCTGCCGAGCACTGGATGATGGTGCAGAAAGCGTTGCTGTTTGGAGACTACGGCAAGGCACGTGAGATTTTGGGTGTAGAGGGCGTATCATCGAGCGACATGGCGCACGTCAAAGCGCTAGGTCGGCAAGTGAGCGGGTTCGACGAGGAAAAGTGGGTAGATGCGCGGCAGGACATTGTGCTTCAAGGGAACATGCACAAATTCGAGCAAAACGGCGAGTTGCTTGAGAAATTGATGGATACGGGGGATAAGAAGATTGTAGAAGCGAGTCCTAGAGATCGGATATGGGGTATTGGCTTTGGCGAGAAGAACGCGTTGAATCAACGGGAACGGTGGGGATTTAATTTATTGGGAATTGCATTGGAGGAGACGAGGAGGAAATTAAATAAGGGAAGCGTGGGAAAGGAGGGGCATGAAGCGTAAAATGTAAAATAGAAACAGAAATCATCATCATCATCTCAACAAATGCTGCACACGCAGCCACTCTCATACGCTCAGCGCGCAAAGAACGCTCAGAACAAGTCAAATCATGGCGACGACAGTCCACCCACTTCACCCACTTTGGCTGTCAAAGCTCTCTCCATCGTCGCAGCTCAGAAGGACACGACCATCGTGAACTTTTGGAGTCAAAGGAAAGAGAAGATGGCGGCGGCTGCTGCAGCTGCTGCAACCCATCCTAATCCTCAGCAACAACTACGAAAGACCGTTCCATCACGCGACAACACCACCACTAACGGCGTCGATACGAATACCTGGCCAGAGGTCGGCAAGGTTCTCGAATCTGCGAGTGGCACGACGACGGATGAACAACAGGAAAGGGAGAAGGAAAACGTGTCACATACCCCAAGGAAAAGTACTTCATTTTGCTTTCCTATCGATCGTTCTCTCGTAATAACTTGAAAATCCACAACAGCGAAATGGGTTCCTATACCCCCAGAAGAGCTCCAAGCAGCTGCAGACGCACTCCGAGTAAAATCAGCAAAATCTTCTCGCTCCAATTCACGGAGTAACAACAAACGAAACACCACCAACGCCAATGCCAATGGATCAACCCAGAACCAGAACCAGAACCAATCAGGGCGCCAATCGACGCCAGCAAGCACATCTCACTCACGCGTGAACAGCCGCTCTGCGAGCGTCCATTCCAGTCCTCACTTGTTTGCCCGTGGTCGGCGATTGCCTGATGATCAGGATCACTCCGTCCCTCCCGTACCGACTCTCAATGGAACCAATGCAAATGGCGGTGGTATGAAAGCGATAACAACAACGAAAGACGACGCGTATAGACCGTATCAACCACAGCCTTACCTACCCTCCCCTATCACCATTACGAGGAACACATCAACGGGCTCACCGACGTACCCGTACCCGTACCCTCACCCGAATTACCCTGGGCCTGCGTTTGAGTATCCTTCAGCTGGCTCTTCGACGATACCTACGCCACACACGATGCCCGTGCCACAGCCTTATTGGTTCCATCCCAATCCCAACCCATCTTCGGGGCAACATAGTCCGAATTACCCACCACAAGGGATGTATTCGATGCCTCAGCCACATGCAAGTGGGAGGAAACCACCTGAACATGCAGCACCTGTCGTTGTGTACGGGTACGATGTTTCAACACCTGGGAATGGGAAGAAGGCGATGAGAGGGGCGGGTCCGGTGGTGTTTGGTTCGATTGCGAGTGCGCAAGAGGTTACGCCTAGTCCGAGTCCTGGACCTTCTATGCCTGTGCCTGTGAATGTGCCTGTACCTGTGAATGGGGGGTTGGCGATTGATGAGTTGGGTGTTAGGAGGATAACGACGAGGCATGGTGGTGTTGAGCAAAGGGGTGTATTGAATGGCGTGGGCAAGTGGGAGTTTGGGACTACGGGGTTGACGTCGACGACGGGGTTGGATGATCATCAGCCTCAAGAGGAGAAGCTCGAGGATAACAACGTCCCACTCAAAACAAACACGAATGGGATCGCAGAGAGTAAACCTTCCTCGGGGTCTGTATCCCCGCTCGTTGGACTTGGAGTAGGGTTGGATGCGTTTTCGGTTAAATATTTTGTGTTTGGGTTTGTGTTTGGGTTGAGGAGGGCGAATGTTTCTGGCGTTGGAGGAGGGGTGATGAAGATGATGAGGGTGGGGAAAGGGAGCGGGGAGGTTGGCTATAAACTGTTGGAATCAACCCAAGCGATCGCGAACAAGCACCCCGAATCAACCCAATTCGTATTGGTATCGATCAACCAACGGCAAGAAAGATCATCGCAATGCTCATCTTCTCAACCAGCTCAACAACCCCTTCAAGCTCCCAGCCTTCAAGTTCCTTTTAACATGGCTATGAAGCAGAGGCTCCCCAACGAGGTTATGAGCGTGGTACTTCGCGCCCTCTATAACAGTTACCGTCACCTCTCCCTGCGCATCTGAAGCATCTGTTTCGACGTTTGAAGGTGCCGATAGCACCTCTACATCTGACGTGAGCGCAACCCCTTCTGCGCTGGGATTCCCAAAATCGTCAATCCCAAGCCTGCGTTGTCGGATTTTCCAGAATATGCATGGTTAAAAGGCTTCCTTGCATTATGCCTGCTATTGCGAATGTTATCCAGCCTAGGGGAGGGAGGGGACGTACTGGTCCAATTCGTCCCAGGTTTATAATTCCCAACGAAAGATCGCAATCAGCATCGAACAGACAAAAGAACGAGAGGGGACCGTACCTCAACGCAATACTCAACACCATCAACACGGCCTTAGAATAAGCATCATCAGTATGCTAAGCGCGCCAACCACCTTAGCTTTGTATGTGTAGTTGAGGGGCGTATTGGACGGCTGCGAGGAGGGCTGAGCTTACGTCTAAAAAGGTGGCCCATGAGGGTAACTGTGTCGGGAGCGAGTTGGGGAGGAGGTGGTGGCGAGGAGGAACCAGGTTACGAATGATACGAGGATGTTAGTGTGGGTAAAAGGGGTGTGTTAGGGAGGAAAGGAGCAGGGGAAAGAAAACGCATAGGTCCACGCAAGCAGCACTGTGTATGTTATCATACTACGTGATATACTTGGCTGTGATTTTGTGCGACTGCGAACCGATCATCTTTCGTTCAACTCCTAATTTGGATGCTCAAGCGCTCAAGCCTCAAGGTGACAGGACTTGAGGCTGTCCAAACGTGGGTTGTCCAGAGCCAACGCCGTCACTGCATGTTCAACGACTCCGAGAAGTTCGTCGTGTCTGGAGGTACCTTTTCAGTTGTTCAAGGAGATTCCATTACATATGGGGGGCAACATGCGGGTGGAATTCAAGGTGAGATCCATCTCGTCCTATTCGACTCGGACTGACTCTTTTTTTGCATCAGGGTTGAAAGTACTTTATGACAACATCGCGGCGGGCGCGATGCACAACTCCAAAGAGCGTCGTGACTCTCCCAAATGCCATCCCGACACTCGGAAAGCAGTATTAAGCGATATCACCAGTTGGATTTCGGATCACAAGAAGAAAACTTGTATCCTCTGGCTGAGAGCTCCAGCAGGCTCAGGAAAATCAGCCATTTTGCAACAAATAGCAGAAAACTTTCATAATTCTGGGGGATTGTCTGCAAGCTTCTTCTTTTCTCGGACAGCTACGAAGAGAAACAGGGAGACCTTCCTTATCGCCACTCTCGCTTCCCAACTCGCGACTTCGATCCCAGCCACTAAACCACTCATCGCAGGAGCGATTGAGCGAGATCCGTCTATCTTCGACCGCGTCCTCTCTGAACAGATGGACCGTCTCGTGGTTTACCCGCTGGTGTATGCTTCACTCCATCCTGAGGGCGGCGACCCACCGTGGCCAACGTTGCTTGTCATAGACGGGCTCGATGAGTGTAATGGAGGAGAGAATCAGGCTGAAATTCTTCATGTCCTCAGGATAGCCCTTTTACAGCTGAGGTCTTCTTTACCAAGACTTTACCTGCTGATCGCGAGCAGGCCGGAGCCAGCCATTGTCGCATTTTTCGACCACGAACTCTTGGATATCACTCACCGTATACTTCTCGACGACACTTACAATCCCGATCTCGACATCGCGACATTTCTTCGAAGCAGCTTTGCTGACATATTCCGTCGACGCCATGCTCACTTCCCTTGTATGTCGTCCCTCCCGCAGCCGTGGCCTCCAGAACATGTTATCTCTTTCCTTGTCCAAAAATCATCTGGCCAATTCATCTTTGCTGCGACGGTGATCAGATTCATAGATGTTGATCGTAAAATTCCAACCGCCCAGCTTCAGCTTATACTCGACGTCTGTGGATCAGTGGATTCATCTAATTTTGCAACTAACCCTTTCGCTCTACTCGACGAGCTCTATAGCTATGTTTTGAACTCTAGCGAAGTAACAGAGAAGGCTATTTTTATACTTGGGGTTATTTTCTACCTACATACCAATCAAAGGCCGACTCTTGAATTCCTTCAGGTGATTCTCCAACTCAAACCCGAGGATATTACAATGATCTTTTGGGACTTGCACTCCATCGTTCACATCCCTGTTTCTGACAACGATCCTATTCGCTTCTACCATGCGTCCCTTCGGGATTTTCTTGTGGATCGACATAGGTCGCATAACCTATACATTGATGGATCCAAAATTCAATTCTTCCTTCTCAAAATGTGTATTCAAACTCTCACCGATTTTCATGGTGGATGCACCCGGGAAAGAACAGACATTGCATTGAAGTACAGCATGAACTATTGGGTAACCCATTATGATTACGGTGATGAACTGGATCCTGGCACTTTGGATAAGATTCTGGAAGAATACGATCTAGAAACGTGGCTACCTTTGGATAATTCGGCCTCTTTCGATGCCTTTATATCGTGGTGGAATGGTTTTGCACTAATGCGGGGCCGCTTCCATAGGCGAGTGAGTGTATTCATTTACCTGGTTTAACTCATGATGCTCCATTCTGACAGTCTTCGTCTAGTGTAGTCCAGAATGCTCAGCTTTATGTTCTCGATACACGTCGGTCCTTGATCGGTACCTTGTTCACCGATTCCAGGAACATAAACTCCCCGCCGTTGTAGCGGCACTCATGTGGTTGACATTACTGAGTCCCATAGAACGTCCACCATCGCGCTGGGGGGGCAATAAATTGATACTCCAAGAGGCCGCGTGGTTTTGGAACGTCCGAACACAAACGGACGAAAAAATTCAGTTCCTTTACTTGCTCATGGGTTTTCTCTCCAATCATAGGCGATCTGGTAACCTTTTTGTTGGGAGTGCTATCTCGATTACCCATTTTGCTCAGGTCTGTGCACAGAGGGTGTGGAGAGGCATTTTGGTTCTGGACCACCCGTTTGGTTCGGAAAATTGGATGTGTGTTCATTTCGCAATCCCTAATGCGCTGTTACATAACATGTGAGATAGGTTGTTCGTTCATTTGTGTGACGTGATGGACCTCTTAATTCGTGGTCATGCTCCTGATGGGAAGAGCTCCAAGCCCGCTGATAAGGCGGTTATTCAGAATATCAAGGTTAGGCAAACTCCGATTTTTTTGAGCCTTGGTCCGCTGAATCATAATATCTTCATTCATCACACGCAGATGCGCATGGACGACATAAAGGATCTTGTGAAATTTGTCGAAGCCAGTGCGACTGAGGATCAGAAAGAATCATTTGAAAGCCAATTGTTGCGCTGGAGAAATACCGAAATGGTCAGATGTCCCTTCGTCTTCAGTGTTGCCTGCGCCAACTGACATATCTATTTCAGGTACTTTCCGGGGAACAATCACTCCCAGACGAAGTTAGGACACCAGGTCGTGTAAAACACCTTGCAACCTTCCTGTGGGAAAAAGGCTTCTTTCGCAGACTGTGGAACTCTGCTTGAAGCTAGTGTCTCTCTGTTATGGTACTCCTCATACCATGACATTTGCATGAGTTCAGAGTCTGATGTGACTGGCTTTGTGAGTTATATGCAGATGTTAGTAAAGGTGCAGCCAAGTGACTGGCCTTGACTCTTCTTGACCCAACCTTGCTCATTCCATGTGCCAGCCATACTGATTCCATCAGGAAAAACCCAAGTTGCAAATTTGTAGTGATTTGTGTTAATGAGAGGTGAAAACTTCAAATTAGCGCGATTAGTGCCGATAAGTATGATTAGTGAAATTATATGCAATTAAACAGGTTCTGAGTTATTGAGTGCTTATTACATGCTTATTTTTACTTTTTAAGCACTGTCAAGCAGTTTTGCGCACACATTTGCAAGAGTAAGTTGAGAGTAAGTTGTGATTAGCACGTATTAAGTGAGTGATAAGCATGCTTTAAGTCATATTTGTAACCAAGGGGGGTACACAATTTTAATTTAATATATCATGCTGATTTTTTTTGTAAGGCCACTATGGCGGGACTAACTAACCAGTGTGCGAATAAATTACCATATATAGGTATGGTGTTGCACAATCCTTGGTAAGTGTGATTGACCTCTGCAAAAGCGCTCTTACAGTAAGGTCACAGGGTAGCCGATAAATGGTCAAGTCTTTTGACCAGACCCTAATCTTCAAGTGGAGGAGCTGGCTGGCAGCTCCGTAATAATACACAGGTCGTCGATGTATACTACAAATGTAATAGTTATCATAGTTAAATAAAAAAGGGATGAGGTGGGAGGGTCTTGAAAAAGTGCTCGTGTATGGTGCTGATCTGTACTAGATGATCAGCCAAACTCTTTTGATGTTGAAGAGGGGATCGGCGGCGCCGAGGAAGCGGGATTCTCACCGTGCAAGATAATAGTCTTTATATTGTTGAAGAGGGAAAGGCGGCGCCTAAGACTATTATAGAAGGGAGATGAGAATTCGTCCTGTAGGGGAGAAGCACGTCGTGCTTACCTGGGTGTCTCACAAGTGCGGTGATGGCAACGCAGAGGAGGGACCCAGGGTTATATACCTCTCTGCGAGCCATAGCACCTGACTCAGCGTCGCTATTGAATAGCACTGAGCCATGGCGGCACGACGAGAGGCATTACTCAGACTGAATAAAGATGAGTAAGTGGGCTGCGGCGATGCCGCTGATGAATTCGGCGAGGCCGAATTCAAAGGAGCTGGGCCCAGAGGCCTCCGAAAATGCTCCCCTCCCTTGGAACCCGCATTTACGTCGACCTCTGCAAAAGCGCTCTTACAGTAAGGTCACGGGGTAGCCGATAAATGGTCAAGTCTTTTGACCAGACCCTAATCTTCAAGTGGAGGAGCTGGCAGCTATAAATCGTGTAGATGGTGTGTGTGGGGGATGGTGGAGGTAGAAAAGATAATGGCGAAAGCACTTGAAGATACCGTGAAAAGGTTAGAGATGATTATGGAAACGTATTGCTGCAAGCTGTTGCTCGGCGCGTATGGTGGGATTGTCACGTATATAGATTTTCCACGCTTGGGAGGACCAACGGCCAAGCACTTGAATGACAGACTCGGAGACCCCAAGGCTGGCGTAATAAGTGGCGGCTCCAACGCGTGGAGAGTGCCTGCCGAAATCCCTATCGAGGAGCGTGAAGAATTTTCGGTCGAACCAGGAGCGTGTGGGAATCGATCCGTTGGCGCAAATGAATAGAGCAGGGCGGGCACCATGCAGGCGGTCGCGGTGTGTTACGTAGTCGCGCATAAGTACGATTGGATCAGCGGCGTCGTGATGAGTGAAGAGGATGTCTGTACCATGATAGAATGGGTCTCCTTTGTGGTAAGGGAGACGATATTGCATGCGGTTGTTCGGGAATGATAGAGACGCACGCTTGATTACTTTACGCCAATCCCATTGATCCCTATCATTTTTCCAAACTAATTCACCCAATCGATGGCATCCGTAAAAGCAACATGAGAGAATAGTGGCGAATAGAAGGTCGTCGTAGTCGCGTGTTGTACGTGCAACATGCAGAAATGCTTCAAGGTGGGAGAGGCGGAGCGGTTGTTTTCGGCGAATAGGGTCAGCACGGATTTTCTTCGATCCACGTATGGTAGATTGGACAAGGGGATGAGCTCGATTGGTGTCAAATTCAGGGTAGATGTCTTTGAGAAAATGTCGCGCGCCTGACAGATATTTTGGGCCTGAGGCGATGTATTTTGATGTATAAGCGATGTATCGCGCCAAGGTCTGTGGAGTAGGGGTGAGAGGTAACGAGAACTTGAGGCAAAAAGAGATGTAGTCCCGGGCGCCAGTAGCATAGCCCTTGACCGTGCTTATTTCAATGGAGTTAATTTGAAGATGTAAGGCACGATCGTCGACGGACTCGAGCGACATTGGGGGGCAGACAGTCCGTTTATGAGCGGACTGCCCACCCAGGAGGCCTAAAAGGACTTCCTCCATCGCGCCGGCAGGAGATCACGAGGCGGATCGAAAAGGCGGACGCGGATGGATGGAAATTTTCGATGAAATTCATCGAAAAGAAGGCATGATAATAAATCCGCCTTAATGTTTTGTTTCCCCTCAATATGCCGTACACGCAAGTCGACTCCAGAGCGAAGAATGACCTGCGCAACACCGAGAAGTACCCCGTTATGCATAGGTTGAGTAGCAGATAAACTGTTGAAGACTCCAACGGAGTCGAGGCTATCCGTAAATATCAAAAGTCGAGATGGGGGATGTGCAAAATTGGATGCGACATAGTGAATCGCAGAAAGGATGGCGAGCAACTCGAGGAAGAAAATGTCGACCTTGTCAGCATTTGAGGTTTGGGAGTGGATTCGGTAGACGAAGCCTTCATTGTTGTATGTGAAAGCGAAAGCGTCTGAGAGATTGGCGTCAGTCCATATGGTGAGGTCAGCATGGGAATCGTCCCAAAACCCGCTGTCAATGAAGCGGACACCAATAGCTTTAGGAATGGTGTCTGCAAGCCATGACAGATCAGAGCGGATAGTGCTATTGATGAAGATGGGAGGATTGCGAGTTTTACCACTGGTTTTACGGTAGAGCTCTGATAACGCTGGTCTTCCCCAGGGTAAGACATTCAAAACCCAGTTCAAATGACCACCGAGACGCTGCCAATCACGAAGGCGAGGTTGTCAGTTGGGGGTAGCTAGGAAGAGATGGATTTTTGTGACGACATTTTCGATTGACTCGGGAGTTAAGGTGATTGTTCCACGATTGATGTCGACAAAGAATCCAATTATCTTCAAAACCTCCCCGTGATCTTGCTTCTTGTCATCAAAGGGGCACGATATATTCTCCCAGAGTAGTAGTAGCTGTACTTGGCGGTAAGGTCAGAGACGGCCATGGTAGGAAAGTAGGTTATTATCATAGTCCCATCCGAAGAAGTCGTCCATATAAACATGTAAGCCATCGACACTGAATTTATATATGGCGAGCCAGCAAATGAGACTAGAAACGGCACACCAACAACGTGGAGAAGCTCGATTTCCAAAGACGAGTCGCCGAACAATGTAAAGTTGTCCGTCGACCGTCACAATTTGCCGTAACTGCCAGATGGGGTGTGCTGGTAAATTAAGAAAGGCGGACGCGACGTCTGATTTAAAAAGGATAAGGCGTCGGCCAGGGTTTTCCGCTCGAGCTTCTCGCAAGGCTTGGCCAAAAGGGTGCATGTCATCATATTTGACATGAGCTTCAGAGCGAGGTATGAAGTCGTTCAATCCCGAATTTTTGTGATCAGTAACAACGCGGGGTTTTTCGTTCTGCCAGACAACGAACATTGGGGAAAATTTCATATTTGGAAGGAGAGATGATAGGGGTAACGCCTTAGACCATCTGTCTGCTGCTAACTCTTTATCACGAAAGAGCCGGATGGCGTCAAGGTCAATATCTTCGGAAGCATAGTTTCCGGAGATGTCGGAGAGTTCATCTCGCCACTCCCCTTCATCAAAAGGCCAAAATCCAATGCGAAGACCATTCATGACAGATTTGACGAAAGGTTGATTGGGATGATCACGTAGTAGGTATTCGAATTGGTCAACATCAAATGGGGTGTCTACCTTGATGAAATCACACATTGCATCAAGGGTAGCTTGAATGGATGGATCATTTGTGAGATGTGGTGGGGGAGAAGGTAATGGGAGAGCTGTCTCCGTGTCAAGAGCTGAGGGCGACGATTGTTTATTATTACTATCGGACCATACATAGCGTCGACGGAAATGAGGAGGGTCAATAATAGATTGATTTGTTCGTTTTGCAGCACTGGGTAATGTTCTAGGCCCTTCCCGCGCTGCTGTTTCCGCCCTCTGGGTAGCGAGCGCTATATCCCTTTCCGCTGCGAGCTTCGAGAGAAGAGTTGCACGACTCTTTTTCTCGTGCTTGGTGTCTCCCCCCACATTCACAACAGATGCCATGCCTGCGCCGATTGACACACGGGTCAGAACATATCCCCTGGTTCCAGTTTTGGCATGGCACTGCTGCACGTTTGGCTGGAGCGTCGAAAGAGTGATCAGCCATTTCACGCTTTCGAAACATTTGCGCGAGGAGAGGCAGATGAAGTCGGCTACGGTCATCCATGCGATATGGATTTCGTGCATAACGATCTCGAGCTTCAATATCAAATTGGATGGCGACGGAAGGATCGAACGGAGCCGCGCGGAAAAGGTCGATAACCATGTCACAATAACTCTGAAGCTCTTCTTGACGGTGGGGGAAGAGGAGTGTGACGCTGGATTTCCACGCGGTAAAAACCCTAATCCATTCAGCTTCTTGCTTAATAGGCTTTTTCGCAGAATACTGGTCCTTTCGAACCAGCGCGTAACCCCCAGCAAAGTCCTTGGCCTCATCTTCATGACTATACCCTCGATCCATCGACGCGTAAAGTTTCTCAAGGTTGACATACTGGTCCTGGATAATGTTACGCCATATAGTACGTGGGATTGGATCGACGAGTGGTTGTAGTTGCATGAGGTCAATAAGGGGGTCAATAGCTTTGTCCGAAGCATACGCTTGTCGCAATTTCCACGTGGTTTGAAGGTGAGTGTCATTGAGCGCATGTTCAGAGAGGGAGGAAAGGTGAGGAGCTGCGGCAAGGACAGAGGCCGGGATGGAAGACCCAGAAGATGAGGGACGACCGTCGAGGAGCCTAACGATGTCGTCGAAAGAAAAGGAGTCTTTGCGTGATGCAGACAGTGAGCGTAGCTGTTCCAACTTGGCTCGCAGCAGGCTCCACTCAATGTCCTCTGTAACGCTCGTCGCCGGTTGCTGCCCACCTCGAGATCCTTGAAGAAGTTGATCTCGTTTGTCCCGAAATTCAGCAACCTCTTCAGCTGAAAGACCGGAAGGAGTGGCTTCACGAGAGGGATGGCGAGATGGATGGCAAGAATTGTTCGAAGAGGAGTGGGTCTGGGACGGCTGAGTAGCTGATGAAGCTTGAGACGGCTGAGCCTGGCCCCTGCGGGAACTTTGTTGGCGTAGCCGTTGCTCCAATTGTTGAACGTAGTCGGATCCCTCGAGTGACGATGCACCAAGCTCCCTGAGTCTCTTCTCAAAGTCCTCCACTGCAGCTCGTCCTTCCACAACATCCTCCAGAGCCTTCTGACAGGCTGCCGCCTTTTGCTGAATTGCTTGAGCATTTCCATCGTCCGTCATTGTCTTCGTTTATGAGATATAGATGGCGGGACGCGTAGATTTCTTGAAAAAGTGCTCGTGTATGGTGCTGATCTGTACTAGATGATCAGCCAAACTCTTTTGATGTTGAAGAGGGGATCGGCGGCGCCGAGGAAGCGGGATTCTCACCGTGCAAGATAATAGTCTTTATATTGTAGAAGAGGGAAAGGCGGCGCCTAA